TTCCCTGCTTTGAGGGTTTCCACAACCCGGAACCGGAAGCGCGCTTCGACCCGAAGCGGCCCTGCTAGTAGTAACGGTAAATCATTTACTCGAACATGCATACCAACAAAAGCACGTGTCAACCACGACAACAAAGGGTCAAACGGCAAAACAAATCTTGTGTTCGATTGTGAAGAGCACAACTAGTCTCTGCACATCGGGTCCGATTGCAAAATGCCAAACCAGTGCCAAACCTCGGTGTGTGGACGTCAAGGCGGTTGATGATAGAGTCTAGAGCTTACCAGCTTCGAGATAACATGCGGCACCCCTGTCTGGACGCCGAAAGATGCGTATTTTCTCAACGACGTGCGAACTAAACCCGCCTCGCACGGCACCTCTTGCAGAGAACTCGGAAGCCTTGACGAAAACCCGGCAAAAAGCACCAAGCGGTCAAGCTATGTGGAACGTGGCATGCCCGGGTCCTCCTCGTCAAACCTAGAGCAAACTTGACTTCATTGGCTCGTGGGTCTCAGGACTGCAACGGAGGGTTCTTCCACTATGTATGGGCAGTAAACCTGCAGAGATTAAGGCTGCACCATGGATTTTTGCCTGTCCTTTGAACCGCTGCAGCTAGACTTGGTCTAAGCTCAGCCGTGCTCCTTGACGTTGGGGCGGGAGGAAGCCCTTGAGAAGCCTGACCATCAGGTGGTGGAAGCCCGCTCCGATCGTATGGGCGTAGACCACGCAGAAGAGGACGTTCCAGAGGAGCACAATTGCAGCATTGAGCCTGGGATCGAAAGCTTTGTCGGTGATCCGGGAGAGCAGCCTTTTGTCGAAGTAGAAGCGGAACCAGCCCTGAAAGCAAAGGATGCAGTGGCTGATGTAGCTGCCGAAGCAAGTGCTTCCCATCGTCTTGAAGTGCCATGGCACAAAGGCCATTCCCAGACCCACGGCAAGGGCCGGCAGGGTGAGAAGCAAGAACTCTCCCAACCAAAGCATCACATAGGAGGTAAAGGAGGGGTGCGTCATGTACTGCCAAGTGACTACGTGGCTCCCCTTCTCACGCCCCTCAATGTAGATCGTTTTGTAGTTCGGGTAACCGTATTCCCTAGGAACGAAGGTCAGCGCCAAGAAGAAGGCCCAGGATGCCAGGCAAACGCTGATCTGCAAGCTGTTCTCGGCAACGTCCGCATCCATGTACTGCGCCAACACATCCCGGCCTCCGTTCATCAGCCGGGCCCCAGTCTTCCGAAACCAAGCCAGAAACCCGGCAGCAGTCGCGTGCCAGGCGAGGAGGTAGCAGCCGGGCATGAAGAAGAGATCAAAATGCAGGGTTTTCCATCGAAGCATCGTGACCTTCTCAACGAGCCATCCACGCCATGCGAGCGGAATTTGCAACCAAATCAAGTCATCTGGCAGCAAGCATGCGGCGCACAGGACCAGCACTGCTTGCCAGAGGCCCACATGAATCTTGCTTAGGACGACCAGCAGCAGACGCGCCCAGACGTAGACGTAGAGGAACCACTCCGTGAGAAGGCAGACGGAGCCATATACGGAAGGGTTCACCATCAGCGTACTCACCAGCGCCGCAGCCAAGGCCACTGCATCACGAGCGCCGAGCGTTGGTTCTCGGCGGGCATCGGCAAAGCCGAGGAGGAGCGTAAAGGCGATCATGTCACGGGCGTGGCAGGCATCGAGAATCACAGCTTCTGCAAGCTGACCTGGGTCGTAGTGAGTCTTGGGGTCGACTGCCGCCCCGTGAACGAAGTTCATGTGCATCATCATCACCAGTACGAGCCAGAAGGCCTGCTGGTTGTGCAACCACCTCTCTTCTTCAAGCTGCGTCTTGGTGAGATGCTGTAGTACACCGAGGGAGTCGAGGATGGCATGCGTCTCCTGCTCCTCTTTGGCGAGGTGCTTTGCAGCCAATGCCTCCAAGTGCTTTAGATCCACCTTGCCGTTGGCTAGCCGCGGCAGGTCTGGCAAAGCCACAAAACGACTCGGCACTGCATGTGAGGGAACGCGCTGCTCCATGTCTTTCTTCAGTTTATCCAAATTTAAATCTGACGGGCAGACGAAGGCCACGATCTGCAAGTGCTGCTGTGCACCCTCCGCTACGGTTGCCGCGACCTCCGCGACCAAGGGCCCCAAAGCAGCCTCTACCTCTCCAAGCTCCACGCGGCAGCCCCGCACCTTCACCTGGCGATCAAGTCGCCCATGGACCACCAGCTGCTGGTGATTCCAAGAGCCCAAATCGCCGGTCCGATAAAGCTTCCCCAGTTCCGGGTGGTCGATGAAAGCAGCTGCCGTAAGGTCTGGCAGTTGCCAATATCCTGTGGCCATCACCCCACTGAAGCAAATTTCCCCTTTGCCTTTGGCCGACTCCAAAGACCCGGGCCTTAGCAAGTGCACGGCCACATGCGGCTGGGGCACACCCGCAGGGACGGCTCGGTTCTGACGCCAGATATCCATGCCAGTGCGAGCGACAGAGAAGGTCGTGTTTTCCGTCTCCGTCGATCCGTAGAAGTTCGTGAGTTTCACCGATGGCAGCTTCTCGAGGACCTGGTCGGCCAAGTGCCAGGAGAGCGGCTCGCCCATGCACACAACTTGCTGCAAGGTCGACAGCTCGCCCGCGTCCAGCAGCAGCTGCAGCACGGAGGGTGTGGCGACGAGCAAAGTCACACCGGAGGCATCTATGACTTCTGCTAGATGCATTGGGTCACCAGACTTCTTCGGCAGGCCAAAAACGATCGTGCCTGCTCGACAAAGGGCCGGGTACACTTCGTGGCGAAACACCGACCAGATGTTTGATGTCTTCTGCAACACACGAGTAGATTGATCAATGCCACACTGCTCGGCAAAGAAGTGGGTCGAGTGCGCCAGGCGCGCATGCGTGAAGATCACACCTTTGGGAGCACCGGTGGAGCCAGAAGTGTAGATCACCTGCGCCACCCTGTCCATGGACTCCTGGAACGACACCTCAGGCATCGTGCAGTCGCTGTCCCAGATAAGCTGCCTCGCGTGTAGCTTGGGCGTGGACAAGTCGGTGAAAGGCGTGTCGTCGTCACAAATCAGGGCTGCTGGCTCTATGTGCCCCACCAACTCCCGTAGTCGCTTTTCGGGTGCCTTACGGTCCAAAGGCACCCAAGAGCCCTTTGCCAGCCAGGTCCCCAAAATGGCGGCGACAAGCTTTGGCCCGCTGTGCAGGTACAGAGCCACCACGGACGTCTCCTCGCTGAGAAGCGGCAATAGGAGCCGAGCGCAACCTGCGGCGCAGCCCCGCAGCTCGTCGAAGCGAACTTCGCCGGTCGGAGTGTGCATGGCGCAGCATTCCGGATGTTCAGCCGCACGCTGCAAAAACTGCGCTAGCACCGGCAGCTGCGGGTAGGGCTCGGCGCTCTGCTCTGGTGGTGCTCCCGCTCTCTCACTCGCGACCTCTGATACCTGCTCAGAGTCAGAGTCCCTTCCTGAAAAGTGGAAGAAGAGGTCGAAGGTGCTCCGACTTGGAGCTTCCGCCTTCCGTTTGCCTTCAGTGCAGGAGCGGACCACTGAGGAGCGGAAGGCCTCCCAGCCAAAGATCAGCAAGCCTAAGGCCAGGCAGCACACAAAGGACACGAGCAGGGCGAATGTCACAGACTTGGCATCAGGAAGCTCGATGTTGGAGTGCAAGCATGCCCTTGGCAACTCGAGGTGGCAGGGAGGGGAATGTATGAAATATGAAGACTCGCGCATGACTTGAGCAACGCTGGCTAGCAGTAAACGGTTGCGTGAATAGGGACGACATATGGATGTTGGCAAGCTGACTCCATGGTGAGGCGGATGCCTCGGACCATCTGACTCTGACACCCTTGACCTGAAGCTCGTTTGGAAAACAGGTGCAAGAGCAGCAGCCATTTTCCTGCGGATTCGTTGCAAACGGTGGCTGGTCCCTTGATTTACTTTATTGCTACAAGGAGTGTGGTACGTTGAAGTCGCTGCATATTAAACCGCAACAATCCACATCTGCATTGGCATCAACATGCAACTACAAAACATCTAGAGCAACAACACACTATCGCAGTATGGTCACTGACTTGTCTACGGAGTTGTCAGATATTCACGCCTCTCAGCAAAACTGGCACTCCGGCACATCTAGAATCTAGTAAAAACAACCTGGTGCCAACATGATCCGGACGCTTCCAGAACTGCTGTGGCAATCTCAGTCGAGCCGCTGTGCACTTCTGACCGGTATGCCTGCGGGTCTGCATAACGATCTGGACCCCGAACTCTGTGAACGCAGCTAAACGATGCTCAAAGCTCTGTGCAACAGAAACCGATGGCAGGCAGGCGAGGAAGCCGCTCTGCAGCCTATCTCAGTGCATGAAAATTATCAGCTGCCACCACTTCATGGTGTGGGCAAATTCTCGGGAATGCAGTGTTCAAAAAGCCGTAGGTCGCGCATGCGACCAGGCAGAATACACACGGATGCAACCGGCGCAGACAGCCTGCAGAAAATCCATGCAGCAGATCCTTGCATGGCACGAAGTACAGGATGTGTTTGATGGCGCAAGCGCACACTGTTTGAGAGCTCCTCTTGCGCTGGCTGCTTTGCAAGTCTCCGTTTGGAGATCCAAGTCCTAATGTTCTGAAGGGAAAGACTGCTTGGGTTTTCGCTTCCTTCCCAGAGACGACTTCCCTGCGGAGAGATGCCTTTGTTTGCTTCCTGTACATGGCAACGTCTACCGGCAGACACATGCACATCACTGAAGCTGTGCGCTTCGAGATGTCGGACCTTTCAAGGACATGAAAGCTGTGGACTGCGCAGAGCAACTCACTTTCGCTTTGCTTGTGGCTTGTGACCTGAGTCGGGGGAGACACATGTGCAGCTTGTGAAGCATTGATTCCGGCTGGCCACTCCTTTTGCTTCGCAGTTTTTTGATGTGGGAATGCTGGGAGAAGTCAGTGTCAGTGTCGGCAGGCGGGGGAAGGGAACTTGCATATCCAGGTGCAGCTCTTGCAGCCCAAGGACTCGCTCCTGCAGGTTATTGGTTCATCCCCTGATCAGGGACAGAAGAGACAAGCAGGCTCACTACGGTTATATAGCCTGCACCTTCTGCAGCACTTATTAGACACGCAGATTTTTCAGAGTCCACCCCCAGGCCTGCGAGTTTTCTCCTCCGCCGCCCGACCTCGAGAAGGCCATTAGTGAGGCCGAACCTGACCCTCAATGACAAAAATGAACAAAGCAATGAACGTACTGCTGCCCCGTGCCGGCCCACTGATATGAGGCCAACCAGGTCCCAGCACACTTCTCTGACACTCTGACCGAGGCACGACTTGCTCCACCCAAGCCGGTTCTGCACGGAGCAAATGTGAAGATGCAGTCTGCTACCAGCTGGCACATGCCGGCACATCCTTGCAAGCTAGCCTTGAGGTATGAGAAGGTCCCACCACTCGAGGTTGGCTTCGGCCCAGATGGAGGAACCGGAACTAGCCTTGGCAAACCAAGCTCCTTTCCTCCCTAATCCGTTGCACGACGATCATGCACTCATCGCAACCAAGATACTCGGCTTTGCCTTGAGATGCTGCCGGACTAGCTCCACCTTCCTGGTGCTCTCCTGCTTTCCAAAGAGCTGTGCTACAGACAAACCCTTGCTGTCGAACGATCAACTGTCCTTCCGTAATGGCAGCCGGCTTCGCCGGGTCCTCCTGCCACATTGCAGTCGGCAGGCCACCACAGCTGACTCGGGAAATATGCTTGCGTGACCATGACCGGTACAGTGGCTGTATAGCGTTCACATCCCGGGTCCTTCGATCCTCCCCGAGACCTCAGGCCAAGCTTTGCAGGAAGACAGAGGGAGGGAGGGAGGGAGGGAGGGAGGGAGGGAGGGAGGGAGAAAGATTCCAAATCGAAACCGCAAACGAACGAGACCGACGTTAAGCGCGACCACAGGAGTTGTGGCAAACGTAGACTGTGTCTATGTACAAGGTCTCGCTGTCGAGTTCTCCTTGCCAAAACCACCTCCTGAAGCGAAAACAACCAAAACTCTTTCTAAGAATATTCTGAAAGTTGTGGGTAACTGGTCGATTTTCAGGCCCAGTTGCGCTTCCTCCAGTGTTGGAGCCTCGATACAACGCAAGCGACGTGACATGCTGGCTTCCACAGCTGGGAGTGATAGTTTTTTTGCGTCGTTGCCAAGGCACAGTCTTGGCTTCTGTACCTGATGTTGTTCCTGGGTGGCCCACGACACGTTCAGGTGAAGGCGGCACAGCTGAGCAGCGGATGGGAATGACAGAATCAGAGCAGCATTTGGTATCGGAATCCCATCCTATGGTACAGAAGTGCATACAAACGAAGCATTCTGGCTGTAAGCTGAGCTTCGCATGATCTTCTTCTCCAACCTCGGCTGGCACTCGGTGGCTGCAAAGCAGGGCCTTAGGCCCTGATCAGCTCTACAGTAAGGTGTGCACCTCTCGGGCTTGTGGTCGGGCTTGTGGCCGTTGCTTCTCATCGACTCCAGGCCGGTGGAAGCCAAGCTCTCAAAATCTTCTACAGCCTCCCGCGACGCGAGATGCGACATGTGAGCATCCCCACCCCTCTACCCGCAAGCTAAAGCCCCGGGCCTGGAGGGTGATCCGGGCGACACTGCTTCTGGCGATTTCAGGTTCTTGGCAGCGGATTGAGAGTTGACACGTTCGGGGTCCGGTTTAGGGGTGGGGCTGTCGCCAATGCACCCAAACCACTCGCAACTCTGATCTGCATCCCTGCACTCATGCTGAGAGACAGGCTCTGGCTGGCCATTGTCCATAGTGCTTTGAAGGACTTCCTTGCCGAGGGCCGCTTCGACGGATCCTTCTGCAACAAAGCCTTCAGCAGCTGGATGATACCTCGGTCGGCTCAGTGGTCTGCACGACTCACTATGCTTGCAAGAACTCCCCGTGCAAACCTCCCGACTCTCAGTAGATCCTGACAGCCTGACGGCATGGTGCCGACAGGAGAAGATCGAAGCAACTCTGAGGCCGGCGCTACCAGAAAATTCGCCAAAGAGAGCCGGGTCGTACTTCACCTTGCATCCTCGGCAACGCAGAGTAGCGGCGGCTCGGCGGCTTGTCACTATCGAGTGCAGACCGCTCACCAACTCTCTGACACTTCACCAGCATGGACTTCGCCCTCTTGACTGTAAAGCTGTGCAGAATCTGAAGCAAGCCCCGACCCACCCACTCCAACCAAGGCAGCGCACGCGCTGTCAGCTCCAGCACCTCCCGACTTGAGCGCTTGAGATAACTTGGCTTCAATCAGCCAAACGCATCCCCTTGTACTTGACATTGCCAGCTAGCACAGCTATTTTTCACTGTCTCTTGCATGATGTCCGTTCATCATCCGGGTGCATGGCGAAACAACGGAGATTGAATGAGAAATATGGGCCAAGGATGCTGGGGAACAAACTCTGTCACCGCCGTGAAACTGGAGTGGAGTAGCTTGCAAGTCTGGCAGGTAAGCGAAAGGAGGATGCAACGGCAGAAGCGGCATGAATCGTGCAACCCGGTTTCTTCACTGCCTTCTTGAGCGTTTTCCCCGGGAAGGGGAGCGTGTTGCTCAAAGCAAAATACAGCACGGCTCCAGCACCAAACACGTCGACCTTCTCGTCCTTTGTTAAGACGGTGCAATGCGGCCGCTAGCAGGACGCCAGATGGTAATCCATCAAGACACTGTCACGATCTTTGGCCAAGCCACGTATGGGAGGTCTGTAACCACTTCAGGCGGAGCGTAGCCAGGGGATCCCACTCTGCGCTGCATGGCCTGTAAGACTTCAGGTCGTGGTCGAGTCAATCCATAATTGCCACAGCTGATGATGCCGCAGGCCTCTTCATCCTTCAAGAATGCAGCGATGCCAACGTCGGACAGAACCGCCTTGTTGTTGGCCTCGCCACTCGCAAAAAAAAGTGTTGATGTTTCAATGCCTGCTTTTGCTGTGATCGAACATAATCCTTAAGTACTTTCGCTTCGACTGTGTGGCTAAGAATTTCGCAGCCAGGATTGGCCTTAGATTCCTTGCTGTTAACCCTGTGGCGCTCCCTCCTGAGAAGCAGCCCTTTATCGCCGCGAACACTTCAAGACCCACAGCCCGGCCAGCAAGATGTTCTCAGCTTTCACGTCCCGGTGAACTACGCCCAAGCGGTGGAGATGGGTGAGCGCCGACAGCAGGCACAGCCTGGTGCTGAAACATCAGCAGCAGCAATTAGCAAACCTTCTGCTCGGCACTTACTGGTAGTGCAAAAACACGCGATGTTGCGAAAATCGGGCGGGAGGCATCAGGGTGGCTGCTGCAGTTTCTTTCATGGCACCGTTGGCGGCAAGGTAGTCGAACAGGTCACCCTCCGAATACCTCGTCGCGGCTTGCAGAATGGTACGTGCATTCAGCACGGAAGCGACCTCCAAAGCTGACATCGAAAGCAGCAAGGAATGCTCAACCTGAAGGAACTGCAGCTATGTGGCAAAGGCATGACGATCGTCCAACGAATGGAGGCGGCCCTCTTGCTCTCCTGAGCTGCACAGAAGGCCCAGAAAGCATGCCAATTCGAATCAAGGGATCCCAAGCCCCAGCACATTCCATGAAGTGGCAACACACAAGTATCGTCATCAGAGCCACCAGTGTCATCGCCACTCATCGTCCACAACATCATCATCAACCACACCATCGCAAGACGCGTTCTCCTGGGGGCACCTTTTAGGCAGCGGCTCGGCTGTGACCGATGCCTGACACCTGCGTCTCCAGACGCAGTGCTCAGGCAACTGGCTGGCTTACGTATATACACACGAGGCTCTGCCGAGGCTTTTGGCAGAACCAGTGCTTGTGTTCAGTTCATCTTCTGTGGGTCGTGCTTCGTCGTTTGGGCATCGCCCAGGCACAACAACTCTCGCCGAAATACTACCCAACGTCGAGCTGACATAGGAGCCAAGCTACTGCGAAAGGCTCTCAGATCGAATCGAACCTTCCAACACCACAATATAAAGCCGGCTCTGATTCGTGCATCGATGATAGTTGATTCCTGTCGAGGCCGCAGGACTACCACGTCCGGGCTTGCAGCTTCCGGCGCTGCCAAATTGCGACCCAACCTGCTACACCTGACCGCTTGAGCTCTCCGTTTTGCAAGTCAGAGCTTTACACCTGTTCTTTGTCTAAAAATGGCTCCACATGTCCACAGCACGTTCACTGAGCTAGCGGACGCCCTTCTTGGCCAAGCCGAGAGTCTGTAGAACCCAGTTCATTGAAGCAGAAGACGCCAAATAGGGCAGAGATGCAGGGATGACCCCGAGCCACTGCTAAAAACCTCGGGGATAGTAGACACCTTCCGCTCAACTGGCCACAAAAATAGCTGCAGCATCATGCGGCCGAGTGGCTCGATCTCGCTTCTGATGCTGATCTCTTCCTCTGCTCAGAATGACAGGCAAATGGCGCAATCACCTTTTTTTCTGTCACCTCGAAAATACATAACATTTGAGAAAGACGCTGTGACTCCACCGGACTTGTTCAGCTTCTTCACAGCCACCTGCTCTTCAAGGATATCTGCACCCCGTGCCAAATCGCACAGTCGGCTTTGGCACCTGAGGCACGGCCGGGATGTCGACCTTCGCTGCATCCTTCTGCGCGGGGAGGCGCATCCGCGATTGGCCTGGCCAGGCGGCTGAGTGCTGCCTTTTGTTCGAGAGCTTCGAAAAGCTCAGAGAGTTTCAAAGAGCTGAAGCACGGTTGTCAAACTTGAGGGCCAGGGGCATGGAGAACGAAAGCTCGGTCTTTTTTTACAGACGGACTCAACGGCTACACACACGCAAACGCAGAGAGACATGGCTGCACTGCACAAACACTTCACAAACAAGTACTGACATATCAATT